TAAATGATTTAATGTGATATTTTTTCTATGTTTACAGAAAAATCTTTCAGAGCTTTTATTTAAAAATAAATCAAAAATGCATAAATATTTATGTTTGTGACTATTTTCTCACCAGAAGTACTTATCCACTAAACTTAGTGATTTATAATGAACTCCTCTTTATTTGTGCTTGAGTTTTAGGCTTATGAGTAAAATAATGAATTGAAATATTAAACAATGGAAAGCATGTCTTTATACACTGGTATATTTTCATAAAGATAGTTATTTTGTTCTATAGATGCAGAGTACAATTCGAGAACACAGAGATGGTGGTAATGCTGGTGGCATCTTCAACAGATATAACGTCATTCGAGTGAGTTTAAAAATTTAGATTGCCTGAAAATCAGATCTAGACAATGAAAAATTTTTTTAAAAGTCAATATTTTCAAACTGTCAAAGATAATCCATCAGATTAATACTTTCATCACCGAGGTATCTCTAACCCCAAGATCATACTTCACTAGGAATAAAGGGCACCCTGAAAACACCAAGCTGCAAACAGAAGGCTGCTCAGCTTGTACTGCTGATGCACGTGGGGCAGGCCTCTCTCCCTGCTCATCCACACATTCGGGCCATAGCTGACAGTTTTTTTTTTTTTTAATCATTTGAAAGTAACATGAAGGCCTGGATATTCAGTCTAATTGAATCATTGATTATACCAGAATACATACATCTCTTAATCTTAGTATCTTAATTTATAATATGGAACAGATAATTTTATATGCTTTTTTTCAAAGCGATATCATAAAGATGGAGTTAACAAACCTGCAAAAGTTACACTGATACTCAGGAAGCTTTTTTAAAAATAAAGATTTCCAGGCCCCCATCTCCCAAAAGTCATTTAGTCTAGAGAGGAGCCTAAAAATAACCTTAAAAAAAACCTCCTGAGATGATTTTTAGGTAACAGCCAGGTCTGATACAAAATAAAGAAACCATAACTGAAAATTATGTCACTAAATGCTAGAATATTAACTGAGTTACATGGACATGGCAACTTTATCATTTTTAAATTGTCTTAAGCAAACAAAACAAAAAATTGAACCTGCCTAAAGGAAAACATGCATTTCATTTTAAATCATAAACATGCATTTTACTGATAATTACTTTCTTTCTCCTTTATCCTTAAAGATTCAAAAAGTTGTCAACAAGAAGTTGAGAGAGCGATTCTGTCACAGACAAAAGGAAGTGTCCGAGGAGAATCACAACCATCACAATGAGCGCATGTTATTTCACGGTGGGTAGCGTGGCAGTAATTGCAGGCATCTCTGCGGGCTTTCGCAGAATTCAATAAAGTGAAAAATCTGCGTTAAATTGACTGTAATAGGGGTTGTGTTAAAAATGCTTATTTTTATTTTTTTTCCAAGTAAATTACTTGTTGGTACCAAGTTTCTTTAATGCATTTCATGTTACTGTGGGCTTTCCAAAGCACGTATAATGAAAATTATTCATCTGAAATTGTTTCAGAATTTAAATTGCACATTGAGCCAGCTGGTGAAGTGTTTCTGTTATAATCTAGTACTAGTACATTATGTATAATAGACCAACTTAAAAAAAAAAAAGTTTATTTTCTGAGACAAGAGTCTCACTCTGTTGCCCAGGCTAGAGTGCCATGGCCTCAGCCTAGCTCACAGCAACCTCAAACTCCTGGGCTCAAGCGATCCTACTGCCTCAGCCTCCTGAGTAGCTGGGAATACAGGCATATGCCACCATGCCCGGCTAATTTTTTTTCTATAAATTTTTAGTTGCCCAATTAATTTCTTTCTTTTTTTGGTAGAGTCGGGATCTTGCTCAGGCTGGTCTCGAACTCCTGAGCTCAAACCATCCACCTGCCTCGGCCACCCAGAGTGCTAGGATTACAGGCGTGAGCCACTGCGCCCGGCCGAAAATAAACTTTTTATGCATTAATTCTTAATCTACCCAGTGCAAGTATTAGGCAACTATTTGAAATTCTAGAAAAGTATTCAAAAACTAATCTTTCTATCTTTATATTTTAAGGTTCTCCTTTCATTAATGCCATTATTCATAAAGGGTTTGATGAGCGACATGCATACATAGGAGGAATGTTTGGAGCTGGGATTTATTTTGCTGAAAACTCCTCGAAAAGCAACCAGTATGTTTATGGAATTGGAGGAGGAACAGGTTGCCCTACACACAAAGACAGGTCGTGTTATATATGTCACAGGTAAGCATCTTGCCTTTAGTGTAATGGTTGCCACCCTCAGGTCATGAACTACATTAGTTTTTCAGGCTCTCAGAAGTCACAGATTATCATACAGGCTTAGGTGTTGGATAGGTGCAGCTCATCAGCCTCTGCCCTAAGGAGCAGTGACAGCAGAGCCAATACCAGTAGTGAAAACCAGATGCATGGCCACCAGTCATCGACTGTAACAAAATTCCCTGCGTCTTGGCTTTTTCCCTAGGCTTTACTTTCCTTGCTTCGGAATCAGAACACGAAAAGGCTGAGAATGATTTCTGTAGAACCAAAAAACCTTTAGTTCTAAGATGTAAAACTTATACAAACTAGATGACTCTTTAATTTTCTTCTGATACTGCTGGTAATGTTTGTTTTTAGGCAGGATATATAATTAGCCTTGAAAAGTAACTTCAAAATACCAACTTAGGAATTAATAACAAACAAATGACTTTCAGCTTTTTAAATAGGATGTTAAAACTCAGAAATTAGAGAAAATAATAGTGTACTATCTCTGAAGTCAGTGGGGAAAAATACAAAAGAATTATACTTTATGAAGATTGGGATTTGTTACATTTCTCTTTAAACCAACCAAATGCATTATTTTTGCAAAGTCAGCTTAATAAGATATCTTTATGATTCAGTTAAGACCTTAAATAGACGCATATAACCTTGAAATTCATTATGGTTGAAACTTAGATTATTTATGTTAAGAAAAAAACTATTATCATGAGCTATAAGATGGATGCCATATGTCCAGAAAGAAACTTCCTTCCATTAAGACCTCTGTGGTTAAGAACACACAGAAATTCCCAAGAAAATGTAGCCTGCAAAAGCGTTTTTCTGATGCTTCAATCATAACTACTACGGAGACAAAATGAACCTAAATAAGCAATAAAAGTGAACCTTGATGAGGATTCACAGTTGCTTATTAAAAATTAGACACACACGTTTATGTCTTAGCCAGGATTTCCTAGAAAAGAGCTTGAAGCAGAAGTCTATGACTAGTACATTACTGGCAGATACAGTGCCAAGGAAGCAGGAATGAGGGTCCAAAAAGAAGTGACATGGAGATGGCAGCAGAGCGAACACAGTGAGGTGCATTAATGAGCTGGCCACAGTCTCATGACAGGTGCAGTTGCTGGCTCGGTCCCTGAGACGTGTCCAGAGAGGCTGTGTGAATTACTGCGTTTCAGAACAGTAGCATATCAGTGAGAGAGGGATGAATTGGACTGCTGGCTCCCATCTTGCATTGGCCAAAATTTGCTCTCCAGGGCATCTCTACCCCTACAGTTTGGGCTGCTGCAATTGCGTAATACACCGCAGTGAGCAAGCGCGAGCCAGCACTCTGCACCTGCAGCCTCGTGGGCGGGCTGGGCAGGTCCCGTAATCTTCTCCTGCCTCAGTGGCGACAGGGCAACCCTGGGGCAGGAAGCAGAGGCAGGAGGCCGGGGCCTGTTTATGTCATACACAGATTGACCTTATGGACCGAGAGCACGCAGAATCTAATGACAGCACACCACTGCCACGATGTAGAGATGGAGCTCAGAAAGCCTCTCTCTACTGTAGAGCAAAACCCTTTCCTCTGGGCCCTACAAGAGCATACGATTGATGCCAAGCCAGCATCCTGGAGGGTTCTCAGCAGTGTCCTGCTAGAACGTCTGGATCCAGTTATCCTGAGCCCAGCACAAATTTGAGTTGATGCAGAATAGTATCTCAGATGGGTCACACCACTGAGGTCATACTCTATTGCTAAAAACAAACTATTTGATCGAATGATAACTATTTACATTTAACAGTGTGACCCACCATACCGATTAATTAAAATGTTTATTGCTTATATTAGCGATTGGCAAACTTTTTTTAAATTATTATTCTAGATAAAAATTTTAGGCTTTGTAGGCCATACTGGCCCTGTCAGAATAACTCAACTCTGCCCTTGTAGTGCAAAAACAGCCATAGATAATATGTAAATGAATACATGGTGTTCCAGTAAAATTGTATTCACAAAAAAACAGGTGGCAGGCTGGATTTGGCCCATGAGCTATATATAATTTGTCAATCTCTAGTATGTATATAATATACTTTCTTCCCAATCAACCTTTCTTACTCCCTATAATATTTAGATCCTATCCAGTGCATGTTTCACTCTAGTAGTATGATTTCCAGCCATATAAGCTAAGTATTTTTGTTCCTAACCTAGTTTTATTATCTAACCTCACTTTTTATTTTTTCCTCATAATGAGTAAACCCAGTCTTCATTTCAGGTGCTGTTTCTATCTCCTTATTCCTTCACATTCCACCTTTCCACCCATACAAGCAAGCACTCAGTTTTCTCTAGAATTTCCCTTTCCCACTAGCCGAAACTTACTACCAGGTATTTTTCTAGGATTGATTCCTAAGCCACACAAAAACTGCTTTAAGTGTAACTTACCAAGCCTGATAACTGTTTATAAGTAAATCAGTGTATTAAATACCATCCCATTCCTACTCATAAATTTGAAAATGACATTCCAATTAGCTTGCCTTTGTGTTAAATTGTTTTTAAAAATCAGTAAACCTTACCGTTTTATTATTCTAAAGTTTAAAGTTTCCTTCAAAGCATCGCTTTTCTCTTCTCTTTAGACAAATGCTGTTCTGTAGAGTGACCCTTGGAAAATCCTTTCTGCAATTTAGCACCATGAAAATGGCTCATGCTCCCCCAGGACATCACTCAGTTATTGGTAGACCCAGCGTCAATGGGCTGGCGTACGCGGAATATGTCATCTACAGAGGAGAACAGGTATGTCACTCATCAAACAAACATGACCAAGCTACTGAACGAACGTGTCAATACACAACATGGAGACCATGTGAGAGATAACAAAACCTCTTAATGAAATATCCACCACGTAGTCTGATAGCATTAGTCTTCCAGTACACAATGAAGATACCAAAATGATTCTCTGACACCAACTTTTGACGCAACCTATCAGTTACCTACCTGTCAGCTCAGTAACTGTACACAAGAGGGCAGCTGAGAAACAAACGCTTGGGCTCTTAGGCTGTTCTTGAGGCCTGGAAATATATATACAGAGAAATACATACATAGGGAAAACTTTCCATAATTTCATCCCTGTCTTTAGCTGTCACAGTATTACTAAACATCTACCAATTTGTTCAAAAACAAAAAATTAATTTGTGTGAACTTATTTGAATTTTAAATGAATACCATAACTACACTGAAAAAAAGAGAAAAATACAACCTATGAGGGTCAGGTGTGGTGGCTCACGCCTGTAATCCTAGCACTCTGGGAGGCCGAGGCAGCAGATTGCTCAAGGTCAGGAGTTCGAAACCAGCCTGTGTAAGAGTGAGACCCTGTCTCTACTAAAAATATATAGAAAAAATTAGCTGGACATGGTGGCACGTACCTGTAGTCCCAGTTACTCCAGAGGCTGAGGCAGGAGGATTGCTTGAGCCCAGGAGTTTGAGGTTGCTGTGGACTAGCTGACACCATGGCACTCTAGCGCGGGCAACAGTGACACTCTGTCTCAAAACAATAAATAAATAAAAATATAACCTATAAGAACAATATTTTACTATATGCTATCAGTCTTGGGCATGGTAAGGTGTGTGAAGTAGAGGGAAGATTGGCAAAGAAATCCTGAACTTTTTGGATAGCATAAGCAAAACAGGGAAACTCCTTTCGGTATATTATAGGATTGAGCAAATGAGTAAATGTGCTGATATATTGATTTGGGGAGTTGAAGTTCTCACTGTAGAAGAAGGTTCGTACAAATAGAGAAAGGTAAGGCAGACCCTTCAGGGATGGAATGAAATTGGAGATATGATTTCATGGTTTCTAGTATACATATGTATGTATGTACCCATGTAAATATATGTATGGGTATGCATATGAGTGTGTATGTGCATGTATTTCTTAGCTCTGTCTACTGAGAGCAAAGAAACCCCAATTGCAATGAACAAAGCTAGAGCCCTACCATTTCCCATTAAAAGGGATCAAAGGCTTCTTGGAAAACCAGCTAATTCCTGGGCTGGAAGCAGAATAGGTACAAGATGAGCTTAAAAATCTTGTTATGCCTCTAAAGTGATGAAGTGTTCAAAAAACAAATCGTGGGTGCATGTCACAAGGACATGGAAGCCAGCTTGAAGGCCTCCCACTGGCCAAATCTGGGACAGTTTGAACACCAAAGTAATGAATTTTAAACCACTGGGAAAAATAGGAACTCATTATTCTATTTGATAATAAATAGATAAAGGGGCTCTTGATTACAGTAGAATTTCAAGGGCAAATGGGTAGATGTGAGAGTGCTGGAATTGGAAAAACATCTTTCAAACATCATGGAAAAGATTAGATCAGGCAAGAATCATCAGTGGATGCTAAATCTAGGGAGTAATTTCAATAAGGAGAATAATAGTTGCATGGTCTTATTTGCAGTAATTATACATTGGAGACCAATTGCCTTGACCGGATAATCCAAATTAATATCACCCCTCAGGGACAGATAGCAGATAGTGTGTCTCTAGAAAGGCACAACATCTCTGCAGTATTCCAGCTAACAATATACAACCTGTGTCTAATTAAAATGAGGAATGTTCTGTTTTTAAAAAAACACATAGAAAGAGACTAAGCGCGACTGGCTCATACCTGTAATCCTAGTACTTTGGGAGGCCAAGGCAGGAGGATCACTTGAGGCCAGGAGTTCAAGACCAGCCTGGACAACTTATAACCAGATCCCCACTTCTGGAAAAAAACAGAAAAATCAGCCAGGTTTGGTGGTGCACGCCTATACTCCCAGCTACTCAGAGGGCTGAGGCAGACGGATCACTTGAGCCTAGGAGTTTGAGGTTGCAGTGAGCCATGGTGCCGCCACTGCACTCTAGCCTAGGCAATAGAGTGGAAAGATTATATTCTTCAAATCTTTAAAAGAGCATGACAATTCCTGCTTCATCTCCGTGAAAAATAAACTGAGAGCATCCGAGTTTAAATTTTAGCAGTGGGAATTTGGGTTAAGAATTTTCTGAAATTGAGGTACCAAAATAAATTGTTAAAACTTTCAAAAAATGCATTTTATGCTTTTATGACCAGCATGGATTTAAAGTAACTTGATAGGAAATATTGTTCTTTGGTCTCTTCTAGGCCCTTCTAGTCCTGCAGTTTAGTAATTCTCTCGCCTTAAATCCCTCAGGACTTTGATGTGATTAATCAGTATCTTAAAGTGTGTACAAAAACAATTTGGTAGCCTAATCAGCAGGGACCAGGAGCATTCAGATAAGGACCTTTGAGTAAGTCATGTCATTAGAATCTTAGAATCTGCCTGACTGAAATTTACTTGTGGCAGGGATCACCTTAAATCTTATGCCACCAAAATTCCAACGCTGGCATCACTGACTCCTTTGCTTAAGCAACTTTTCTGCAAGGAAAAAGAATGTGTCATGCAAAGTATCATAGATATTAACCTGCATTGGCACAAAAGGAAGTAGGAGTGGGCTTCCCACTCATTTGTGACACGTAGCATATGCCAGCTTGGATTATGTTTAAATGTCTCCTTTCTTTGTCTGGCTTAGCCTCTGAGACGAGATGGTAAGCTCCTTCCCAGCAGGGTCTGTATCTCAGATCAGAGTGTTTTTACATGGTAGATGCTCCATAAATGTATATTGGTGATAAATATATAATTTTCTTGGCCATTAAATGATTGGTTGGCTAATTATACTCAACTCTGGAGTTAGAAATGGATTTGTGACCTAGATTGTTTTAGTAAACCATTTCAAGAATTAAGCAGTATACAAATTATAACAAAATAAAACTACAAACTGTTTAGTTATTGAAGCATCAGATTGGAAAGTCAGAGATTGTCTATCGTGGTTATCCCAACTAAGTGGAAACCATTGCTGTTTTTAACTCAAATCTGAGCAGACTGGAATTTTGGGGGGGAAAGTGTTATGAATGATAGATTCCTTACATATATATAGACAGTTATAACTTTTTAAAACACATTAATGTTTGTTCTTTTTAAAATCTTTACTGAGACTCTTAAGAGATACATGAATGATAATAATGATGAAAATGTTTCTGCCTCCTAAAATCAAGGTATATAATTATTCAGTAAATCTATCACATTTATTTCTGCATTCTAAATATTAAACAGTCCAGTTTTTTCTTATCCTTCCTTCCTTTTCTTATCTTATTCCACATCTGTATGCAAATAATTCATAAGTCAGCATTCAACAAATTATTTTTGGACCCCACAACCAAGCCTTGGCTCACCAAAGAATGTTTTCAGCCAAACACTACTCTGAAATCCTGAGCCTAGTCTTATCATCATGCTATATTAGGGTTGAAGAATTCCCACATAGTATCCAAACTAAGGGGCATTTTGCCCTCTTCCCTCCTATTGCTGGCTCCATGTGGGTTGGGGGCAAGATCTGTAACAGCTCCCTCGGGTCAGCCTGCCTTTTCCAGTACCCTGCCCAGCCCAGACACTGAGCCTTCTGTGTTACTAACTGTGAGAGAGAAGGGACAAAGAGAAAAAGAATAGTGAAGAGGCATATCTAAATCTGAGCCATTAGTTAATTTTTAAAAATTATCTCCAAACTGTGGCCTCCAGGTTATGAGTGACTCAACACATCTCACCCTTACTCCTCCTAGCTCAGTGAGTTACATCATTTTCTATAATTAATTTGAACTCGATTCGGAATTATTTTTTCATTTAACAAGCATTTATTGAGCACATGCTATGTGACAACACTTTGCTACCTGAGGCAAAAAAGAAAAATATTCATGCTGCTTCATGCTTTAGTTTTCCTGTTGATGGCACATGGCTCTCTAATAAGGGATGACTGGAATGTAGCTAATTTAGAGTATTCAGATAGATTTTACAGGGGTCTTCAAACTTTTTAAACAGGGGGCCAGTTCACTGTCCCTCAGACCGTTGGAGGGCCAGACTATAGTTTAAAAAAAACTATGAGCAAATTCCTATGCACACTGCACATATCTTATTTTGAAGTAAAAAAACAAATGGGCAAAAACACCCACATGTGGCCCGCGGGCCATAGTTTGAGGACGCCTGAGATAGAAATAGCATTATTTTTTCTAGATTTGTAGGATTTACACATGTTTATACACAGTTAAGTAGTTGGACCTGCTAATCGTTCAAGCACCTGTTAATGGACTGGGCCCATGTAGAACGCTGTCCAGTATGAACAGCTTCTAAGGCTCCACATTAGTAAGCCTTCAACGTTGTACCTACCAGAAGCGTGACTTATTTTTCTGCCCGTCGTTTCCAGGCATACCCGGAGTATCTCATTACGTACCAGATCATGAAGCCAGAAGCTCCTTCACAGACGGCCACAGCTGCTGAGCAGAAGACCTAGTGAATGCCCACTGGTAAAAGCCAGATCGGAGTTAAACCTGGGACTGGATTACAGTGGATTGTTTCCAACAACAACAAAAAATCAATATTCTATAAATCCCTGACAGCCTAGAAATAAGCTGTTTGTCTTTTATAAAAGCATTGCTATAGTGATGAATATAGTATGAGTAACTGATACATACTCAACTGCTACTGTTCCCTTTGAGGAAATGTTTACAGGGGCGGCCTTTTAACATATCTCAGGCTCATTTTCATTGCAATGATCTGTTTCTAAAACAAGATTACTTTGATCTAGACTTGGAAACAGAAAAAAAAAAGAGAACCAATACTTTTTCAGATGTTCACAGTTCACACACTACACTTGCTTTGTTACGCGTGGCACGTTGTATATAACACACACACACACACACACGTGATAGGCTCATTCTTAACTTTTTTTCCAAACATGCATCGTTGGCTTTTGTTTTTTGGTTACTTTGAAAATGAGCCAGAGCCTTCTTGAGGATATTTTGCACAAAAATCACACTAACAGAAATCATTAGCAATGCAACCCAAGCTTCTGGCTGAACGAGATTCAGTTTCCTTTTTTTTTAAACTTTTGTTTGTTTTAGTTTGTATCTGTGCTTCTCATTAACATAAACTGAGATGAAAAAGAGCAACGTCAAGTTTTGGTATCCTTTTACGCATTGGCCCATCTTACAAGGGGAAGGCACAAACATCACCTTGACTTAGGAGCCTCCCAAGTTCGGAGAAGTCAAAGCTGGTGTGGTCCACTTGCTCATTCTGATAAGACGGTGCTGGAGATCGAAGACTGTGCACGGCCAGGGAAACATTTGCGTTCCCAGGTGAAACGCCAGAGGCCATGGAGGAGGCGTGGCATTTAAGGAACGCGAGGAGCACGTGGCTCTATGTCATTGCAGCCCACATGGATCAAGGGACTCCTCCAAAAACAAATACTTCCCTTCACTTAATCCATACTACTGGAATTGTCACCGCCCCCCCACCCCCAAATTAGCTGCCTTATTTCCAAAGTCAGTGAAATTATTATGCTTCATTAGAGTCACAAAAATATTACAGCTAGGGTTCAGATCTTACTCAGTAGACAGATGTACGCCGCCAAGGCAAGAGCTTCTCCATTTACTCCCGATTTTGGGTTTGAGGGACATGCTTCAAATAGTTCATAAAGATTCCTGTACTCAATTTTTGAATCATTTTCTCAAACTTCTTTATATATTTAGGCAAGGAGAAAAAAATTGAAACCAAAGCCCTTTCAGTTAATATTTTTTTCAATGAGCGTGATAAATACCATACTGTTTTCTTTGTGACATTACTGCTTGTTTTCATCAACATTTGCCAAGTCCACATTGACACTTATAGAAAATGGCCCATTATATTCTCACATTTGCCTTTTTCACCTTAACTAAATATTGAATTGAGTGCATTAATTTATTTGACACGCTATGCATCTACTTCATTTTGAAGCAAAATTAATATAAACAGGGTGGAAAAACAGGAAAAACAGTAGGACACAAACTTGCCATTTCAATTTGAAGCCCTGAAAACTATTTTGGGTTTCGTTTTGTTGTTTGTGTTTTTTGTTTTTTGTTTTTTAAATGCAGCCTGATTAAGCTGTGACCACCGTTAATTTCCTGAAGTGAAATAAAATGATTACATGAAAATTTGCTAGAACTAGGCTCTTAAAATATACATTTTGCTTTCTTTTTGGCTTGAATCCAATGCTAGAACTAGGCCTCCAAACTAGTTTGAATTTTGTAGCCGAATCTTGCATGGGTCCTCAAAATTAAGTCAACAATTAGCCTCACTTGTTGCTTCTATTGAAGTTTCAGTGACCCAAGCTGGGTGTTTGCGTCTTGGCTACTTGTTTAACAACACTAGAATTCCATATGAAGCTTTGAAACTTGATATTCATAAAGAGGGCTTTTTTTACCCTCCTTTTTTGCTGTTGATAACAAAGGGTTGAAGAAATTGCCATCTGTATAGTTTTCAGTAGCTGTGACATGTGTATCGTCCGTCCCCCCCCACCCCCCGCCCAACATAGTTTAAAGTAATAAACACAGCTGTGAGTTTTAGTTAAGTAAAAGTTAATATGGTATAGCCATGGAAAGTTTTATAGCTTCATTAAAAAGATAAACCACTACCCACCTGTGGCTGTATGTCGTTTCCATCATACTAACTAGATTATTGGATGTGCCAGTTTTAAGCTTGGGCCTTACACTTGAGAAGTTAAACTGTGGTTCACTATTTAAATTGCCAGTGTTGTATGTCTGATGTTCTGTGTGCCGAGTAAAGGTACTATGTAAGAAAGACATTTGCAGTGCTTCTTGTCTTGTGATGATTCAAGTATATAGTTCTTGAAAGAATGTGCGTGTATTACTCATCTGCTAAGGAGAGTGGGTTAATGGGTATATCAGAGGAGCCTAATGCATTTTTTTTTTTCAGAACTTGAAAACCAAAGGTCGTCATGAATGTGCTCAAAAGTTAGAGAGAGATCACATTTGGAATTTTCATCTATAGCAATGTGAAGAACCCTTTGCAATATAAAAGCATGACATTAAATGAGGCAGAAATCCATTTAATTTTTTGTATATGTGCTATATAGAAACACTAGTGAGTTGGGAATTTTTAATACCACCACCCCTGAAATGACCACTCAGTTTCCCAAACCACGTGGAAGAGAATCTGAGCATCTCCACCAGCTTTACTGGAGTTAAAGGTGAAGGGCTTCTCTAGACCTAATGGTTCCAGTTTACCAGGTTTTGGCCAACTTGATACTTAGACATAAATTAAGCGCCCTAGACTAGACACTTTCTCCTTGGACTTGACCTCCTTCCCTTTTCCCCAGATTACTAGTCTGGAATTAAAATTAGCTCCAACAGTTACCTTTGACACCACTCATCTTCCTCATTTCTCCATCTTGGGTCTTCCAAAAGGAGACTAGGTCCCTTTCCATTTTCATGTCACAACCAGAAATGGGTATTAGGCCTCATGCGCTTGCTCAGACAATCCTGCCACCGTGTTAACAAATGACAGCATAGAACCCAGAGTTTTAATTCTATGCAAAATAATAGCAGTACCACCAGGATTCTGTTCCTTTTCCTTCCTGGAGTTTGGAATTTCTAGCTGTTTAAGCAACCTTAAGTAGAATAAACAGTATTAGGATGTTTTCATGAAATAGCATGGCATCCTTGTACTCCTTTGAGCTTGATGCTAGTGGCTGGGACCGATTTCCCTTTGCTCTCAAAATAGCAAAGTGCATCGAACCATGCAGAGAAATGCCTGTATTTGGCAAGCACAAAAGGTAACGTAGATTAACATTATTATAGCCATTATACAAAAAAGAAAATTTTGGTGTATGCCGGAAAACAGCATTAGAACACAATAAGTTGTCTAGGTATTTGTCAATTTCAGTATATCTCCCAATTGCACAAAGGGTAATTGGACATTGCTCCCCTTCCCTTTAAACATGTGCACTATCTGGATTCCTATAAATGGCCTTGCAAACAGAAATGGTGTGTATTTTCAAGCACCTTGCCCCCAGCGTGTTCATGTCCCATTCATGTGACATCTGTGATAAATAGCCTCCTTCTTGTGTTTTCTGTTTGGCTAATTATCTTGTGTGGCACTATTTAGACTTTATTCATTCAGCAAACATTCAAAACCAACATTAAAATAGCATTTTATGTGTCAAAGATGGAAGTTAAATTTGTTTGATGTCAAATCAAAAGAAAAGTAATTGCGAAGGTAATATCTGAGCTATTGTTGGACAGATCTAGCACATGAAAAGGAAAAACCACATTCAAAAAGACCACTCTAAAAAGTGAGGTTTCTGCAGGCAACTTGTACGTTCTGCAATTATTAGACGATTAAATTTTCCTTCCTAAGAAAGCCTTAACTATGGCAAAAACTTTTTAACCTTTTATATTGTAATAAATAAAACATTGTCCCATTCCATTTCTTAGTGTTTGAGAGGGTGAGTGAGTCAGGCGTGTCTCCATGTATTTCATACTCATTAAGCTTATTTCATGAGGGTCTATTTCCTAAATAATATTCCCATGCATACAACGGAGCTGCTAAAAATCAATCCATTCCAACTTCTGTATATCTGTATTTCTCAGCTGCCAGAATTCTGGTTTGGAGAAGTGCTAGAAAGATTTCAAAGCCTGTTTTATGTGGGGATACAGCAACAACTATGATAACACGTAGAATTTGAATGAGATGGAAGCTGTTTATCATTTTAAAATATAAACTATAGTGATATTGAAGAGAAAAAACCTGTAAGAAGCTAAAGATTTTATATCTTCTGTAAGACCAAATGGTCATGGTGTGACCAGTTTTAAACAGCAGCCAGAGAGTTCTGCCTCCTTTGAAACAATATTCACACTGTAGAGGTGACTGCATTTTGACTCTTCCTTTTACATTCTCTCTCTCTTTTTTTTTTGCTTTATACATTACCCCTCCACACCTATCCTACCACCCATCCTTTCAAAGAGGGTGTCTCAGGCTTCAGAATTTGGAATGTTTTGTTATTTTGTGTCTGTCTACCCATTTCTGCAAGCAGCCCTGAAAAATCGTTTGCAAAGAAACAGTTGAACTCTGGTAGTGTCCCTCACACACCCTCACGCCCCTCCCAAAGTTCAGGGTGAAAACCTAGGACTATAAAAGTTCAGAAGTTAGGAAGGAACTGAAATCTTTGAAGCTAATAGCCTAAACCCAGAAGATGACCTTGACTATGTAACGCACTGTATTGTATTCATGACACAAAACATTGAAACTCTTCATGTGCATATAATCCCTGCTTCTAGCTCATCCTTGTAGTGGTAATATTTGTCTTTGATACCTACAAACAAAAAAGGTACTTTTCTCAACAAGGTTTCTCAAAAACATTTACAAAACCAGCTTTGAGGAAATGGCGACCGTTTCCTGGCAACAGCATTTGGAGTAGTAATTGTATTTTCTCATTTGTGATGTGTAAGTCTGTGTAAGTAACCAGTGTAGTGACTCTTTGGTTCATTACTGGTGTTGTTAATTTTTAATCTCTGTGTGACCCACCAGTGGCAGGGGGTTCCAATCCTCTCCCCCTTTCTTTTTTGCATTTGTCTGTTTGTAGGATTGTCAGAAATTATAAGATGTCCAGTTAAATTTGAATTTTAGATGAACAGTTTTTTAGCTTATGTTTCATGCAGTATTTGACATATACAGTGAAAGGATTCATCATTTGTCAGAAATTCAGATTTAACTGAGCATCCTTGGTTTTTCCTTTGTTTTATTTCATTTTTCTAAATCTGGCAATCCTACCGATTTGGTCACTAAAAATCACTTGTAGCATGTGAATTCTTCTAGTCTTCATCCTTCACCTGAAATAGAAGTCCTTTTTTCCCCCTCACCTTCTACTTATTTCCAAAAGAGGGAGTCAAAGAACTTAACCTGCCTGCATGGTGGGTTTCTATTTAAGAGATCTTTGTGATTATATTTAACCTGTAATTGTGCTTTGGCTTAACGTCTAACTTACAGTACTTGTAATTGATTAATATTCAATAAAAACATTTTTAAAGTACGCTGTGTGTGGATAACAGTTAGCTCTTAATTGTTTCTGTTTCTGCCCTGTTTGTTCGTTTCAGTCTGACCAACTTTAACACAACTGACCTAAAACTGTCGGAATATAAATAACAACCCTCCCTCCCTATCTTCCTGGTGAGATCTGGGTTTGAAGTACCTTATCCTCACCTCTAAGTCCACATGGGAGTTCTTGAAGCACAGTGATAGTAGGAGAAAGACGAGTTCCTCTTAGAAATCCCTCCTGAACACACAGGCTTGGGCTTTGGAGTCAGACCTCACAGAAATTCCAAGGGTAGCTCAGAGACTCTGTCCCCACCTCTCATTGGAGAAGAGGGAGGGAAGATACCTGTCTCCTGCCATGGTAAATATTAAATACCTGGCACAGAGGACTAAGGAAAATTTTCCATTTCTTCCTGTCTCCTTTTTCCATGGCTAGTGATCCATTAGATTGCAAATTAGAATTTTATCTGTACAGTAACTTCTTGTGCAAGAGGGATTGTCAGAGCCACGAGGAGACATAAATTAAGCAATTAGAAGATCTAAGGTTACTCTACTAACCCTGAAAAGGACAATAGCTATCACTGAGCCTACACATGAACCAGGTACTTTGTACACATTGTCATTAGTAAAATCAGCAACTTTGCAAAATTGCTCTATTAATTTCTATTTTATGGATGAAGAGATGAGACCTAATAAATTATTTTATGTTCCAGAAAACTTTCCACTGAAGACTAAGTGAGATAAGGAACCAGCAGGCATTGCTTAGCTGAGTCGGGAAGTCTCAGAAACGAAGTCTCAAACCACCCTCATCAAAACCGGATGCAAGTCAAGAGGTTCCAAGCTACCAAAATCAAAACTAGTTGGGGGCAGGACAAGTTCCCCTGGTTAGAACCAAGATGGCAGAGAAATCCATGCTTCTTTGACCTTATAGCTTCATTATATACTTCATAACCACAAAATAACCATAAAAGTTTCTACTCACTCCCATCATGCACCTGCAACCTTGACACTTCGGTTTGACCACATTTAGTCAAAAGGAGGGCGTCACCCTAACTCCAGGAAAACACTGTCCCTCTGCAAGAAATAACATGAATATTCCTCCCCTTGTTTGGCCTATAATTAAGCCATTGCTTAAATAGAGGGACTAAAGAACCCACAGGGGCTGTTCTTTGCAGGGAAATCTAGCCTCTGTCTGTAGAGTAGATTTTCTATACGTGTTTGAATAAAACTCTCACTTCACACTGTCAGCTCATTCCTGAATTTTGTGTGTGTGTGAAGCCAAGGACCCACTTGGACCTAAGGTGATTTCCAGCATAGGGAATTACTCTCCTGTGTCGTAAGAGCCAGTCGCACTGCACTAATCTGTAACTATATGGAGTTTCAGTGGTTAGGCAGAGACAAAAACAGAGTTGCCTGTACTACAAGATTTTATATCATCTCTCATGAGAAGATCAGAGTCTAAATGCCATTAGACTCAGGTCCTCCCCTTTGGTTACTGTTGTGTTCAAAAGAAATTACCTGAACTGTGCACAACAAAAAAGTGGAATATAAAATAACAAACAACTTAGAATTCCAACAGCTTGGTTTGGTTTATGATACAGAAGTATTCCTGGGGCCTGCTTTTGTAGCATGAACCAGGAGTAGCATGAATTCAGGAGGAGGGGCTACAAATCACTTGGTGGATTGGATTTATTTTATTAATGTGGAGAAAATTACTTGACAGAAAACTAAATCCTATTAACATAAAGGGATGGGTGCTTCTTGGGCAGCAAATTTGTAAGAACTGTTTTTGAATTGCATTGTCTATGTTGAACGTTTGGTTGCTGTGACCCAGTGGCTCAGATCAGAGACAGAGCACCCTGTTTAGAGCGCTTGTAAACCTTAATCATCTAGCTCGGTTCACTTTTCCTTATTATTTTGTAATCACAAGACCACACAGTAGGCCTGACACAGAAGAACCTGACACTATGTTGGAAATAATAAAAGATGGGTCATCTATTCCCATTAATAGGGCACCTCACTGCCAGGTTTTCTGGTTGGCACCTGCTCTGAAGACCTAGACGTAGAAAACAGAGAGGTAGAAGGGAGAGTCGTGTGTATGTCTTCATTTCAAGCAATTCCCACCTGTCCCATAGTGCTAATAAAACAACTTTGCATAGGTAAGACAGTCTGTAGGCAACGTGCTAATTTTGGTGATACAATTCTTGGCATACTCTCTTCCTGGCCAAGGATTGATTTTTAAAGTAGGCCTATCCATCTGCACTTTAGTAAATCTGCCTACAAATCAGTAGTATAGAATGCAAAGCAGAAAGTGTAAGGTAACCATGGATATGAGTCGTTGGGAGTATGGAGAGACTAAACCAGTGCCTGTCCTGTGCTACTAAGTTGCTTCATAACTCCAAGGAAATTATATGAGGGCTTTAGGCCTCTACCTTTCTATCTGCCAGGTAGGAACACTGTCTGCCATGTAGTTATTTAATAGGACTATTTAGAAGATGTACAAGGTGCTACAAATCAATGCTTTTGGGGTCCTAGGAGAAAACAGAACAGTGAGAAGTTTGGGTGATTAGATAGTTGGTGCAACTGGTTTGCCTAAACAAGGATTAAAACCTCCAGCTCTGCCATCAGGTCTGAGTTCATAGCCTGCCTCTGCCACTTAAAGCCATGTGGCCTAGCGAAGTTCCTCATCCTCCCTGGGCCTTGGTTTCCCCATCTTTAAAAATAAGTATCCGACTACTACTATTATTTCATAGACTCGCTGTGAGAAGTAAACAAAGTAACTTGCATAGTACATGGTCTGGTTTTTTTTTTTTTAATTCCCATCCTGCCCCTCCAAGAAAAAGCACATGATTGGTTAGAAGAAAACAAATCTATAATGACTGGCTCAGACCACACCCTGAAGAGTTTCTGATAGGATGGCCTTGTTAATACACTAACAAGGGAAAATAAATTATCAAACAGAAAAAAAAGCAGCAGCAGCTCACAACACATACTTGCCCCTTTAAAGGGAAATATCACAGCACAATTGCCCTTTCATTTTATTTGATCAACTACCTGGGCCTCAAACTTGTTGTCTTTAAGATTAAAATTGTTTTCAGAGTTTTGTCTTCGTAGCCTTAAAGAGCCCTAAGCAGACACAGCAGGGGTGTGAACTCCCTTCCCAGCTCTTGCCAGAACCAGATTCCAAGGACTCTGATAAAGCCAGCCTCACAGAGAAAAAAAATTTTTTAATCTACAGAGATTTAATCTTAATGACCGCAAGTTAGTTTACGTTTTCTTCTTTTTTTCCTTTTTCTTTCTCCTGGAGACTATCTTACCACTGGAATGTAGTCTGGCCTGTCTGGTAAATATTTTTTAAATTTCATATATTCTTTTTTGTTTACTCAACTCCTTTTAATTGCTATAAAAATGTCTCTGCAGGGGGGATGTTAATTGACAAGAGAACCCAAGTAGTTGATCTTAAAGACAGGGTTTAAGTCATGCTATCACTTAGGGACTGCAGGTTAGATAATTTATTTTTCCCTTGTTAGCTTATTAACAAGGCTGTCCTATCAGTTTCCTGCTTTCAACATGGAAGCAGCAGAGCTAAAAAAAAAAGAAAAAGAAAAGAAAAAGTTTCTTGCTTGATTGGAACCAGATGTCCAAGGTCAGCCATGACTTTTTTTTTTTTTTTTTTTTTTTTTTTTTTTTTTTTGAGACAGAACCTTGCTCTGTTGCTCAGGCTAGAGTGCCCATGGTATTAGCCTAGCTCACAGCAACCTCAAACTCCTGGACTTAAGCAATCCTCCTGCCTCAGCCTTCCGAGTAGCTGGGACTACAGGCATGCCCCACCATGCCCAGCTAATTTTTTCTATGTTTTTAGTTGTCCAGCTAATTTCTGTCTATTTTGGGGAGAGACAGAGTCTCACGCTCTTGCTCAGGCTGGTCTCAAACTCCTGACCTCGAGCAATCTGCCGCCTCGGCCTCCCAGAGTGCCGGGATTACAGGCGTGAGCCACTGTGCCCGGCCAGCCCTAACATTTTATCACCAAACTACCCTCCTGGCCTGGAGCTCTTGTCATTTCTACTGGGGTCACTCCTTACCAATGCAAAAATGAGAACAGACAATGTCACAAGAAGGAATTTACAACTATAACCTCACTTAGTGTTGATGAGCACAGTACAGCAAAAGTTCCCCAGAATTCACCCAAATCCCCAGAAAGAAATGCCTAAAGCAATTACTAGACTAGGATTAGACTCTAGAAGGCTACCACAGACCCAAGGCCAATGTTGGTGTGGGTTGCAGGATGGTTGAGGGGAGGGCCTCACATTCAATAAGTATGTCTAGGAGTTCAGGGAAGAAACTACCTAAAATGTGATAAAAGTAACCACAACTCTGATAATGGAAATACTTGGCCAGTTGAACATTTTCTAACAATGGAGCAAGAAAGCTGAGAGGAAAGGCAGGAACAAACAGAGGTCTGAGGCTGGGTGTGGTGGCTCGCGCCTGTAATCCCGGAATTTTGAGAGACCAAGCCAGGAGGATTGCTTGAGGCCAGGAGTTCAAGACCAGCCTGGGCAATACACCAAGACCCTGTCTCTACAAAACTTTAAAAAATTAGCCAGGCATGTTGGTACACCAGCTACTTTGGAGCCTGAGGCAAGAGGAATGCTTGAGCCCAGGAATTTGAGATTGCAGTGAGCTATAGTGACGCCACTGCGTCCAACCTAGAGTAAGACCCATGTCTCTTAAAAAAAAAAAAGAAATCTGAGGTTTCCAAGACATAGCAAGAAAGCAACTTGGCTGCCACTCAAGTTGACTTGAGCCTGATTGCATTGTCTCCATCTAGTGGCATTTCTCATGGTCGTAGCTTGAGTGAAGCAAAGACGAAGGTTTATTCAACAAATTTTGTCGAACTCTGTTCCAAATCAATTAACCATTATGAATTTCATTATTATTGTCCTTGATGGGAGTCATTAGCTATCTGTGCACTTCTGACTTCTCTCTGGGATCGGAAAT